TTCCCCATGGCAATTTCTCCTTGTGAGTCTCTGCTCTGATAAGCTATGACTCCCTGTATTTGCTTTTGTCTTTCCAATCTTTGTGTCAGCGGTTGACCTTGGCCCTCACCTCTCTTATGGATCCTAGAATAGTTGTTGATTTTTTAGTCTGTTTACCTTTTAGTTGTTGTTAGGATGGAGTGTTAACTTCTAAGCACCTTATGTGTAGAACTGGAAAACTTATTCGTTTGTTTTTAACTGCTGCTGATTTGATGATTGTGGCTTAATCTCTAATGTACAGATAGATAGTTGCTACTTCTGTGACACTAGGAGAATATCACAATTGCTTGTGCATCTTTTGCAGACTGGTAAGGAGGGGCGACTCATAAAGTAAAGTGAACATAATAGTGAGCTAAAGTTAATATGTCTTTCTAGGGTTTTATATACGGTAAAAAAATAAGCAATGACAGTTTCTGATTCTTTCTCAAATGATGAACAAAGATCTAACAACCAGATTCAGAGCTGGTGTTAAAAGCAAATGCTTCCAAAGTATTCCGTGTGCATTTGTATTATTTAACTTATACTTGCTTGATCTTTCTGTTTCCAAAGATTAGCTTTCTTTCAGATCTCTGAGGTGGTATGTTAGGATATCATCAAAGGCTTAAAGGAGGTAAAAATGATTAATTATTGTTTTTAAGAACAGTAATGATAGCTATATGAGATAAATATCAGTAACCAGTGGACCTGTGTGTTTTTTGTGGTTTTTTTTTTTTTTTTTTGCGGTACGCGGCCCTCTCATTGCTGTGGCCTCCCCCGTTGCGGAGCACAGGCTCTGGACGCGCAGGCTCAGCGGCCATGGCTCACGGACCCAGCTGCTCCGCGGCATGTGGGATCTTCCCGGACCGGGGCACGAACCTGTGTCCCCTGCATCGGCAGGCAGACTGTCAACCACTGCGCCACCAGGGAAGCCCGACCTGTGTGTTTTTAAATACTAAAGTTATTTGCCCTGCCTAAGGAAAGCTTTCTAAGGATTTCTCATCGCAACCCTATCTTGGTGATATCCCAAAGCTGGAACATTGAGAATTTTTATAAATTCTCAAGCATCTGGGAAACCTGAAAATAGTATCGAGGATTTTAAAAATTCAGTTTGATCTCTGATTGGCCATATTGTCTTCTTGCTTTTTGGAACACAGTCTAGGGTGGCTGTGTCATGAACTGTATTTAAAAACTTTGACTTATCAGTTATAGTTGGCTTATTCTTACTTTAGTAGAAGGTAATGAACTGTTCATTAAACATTAAGTTCAATAAGATATTTCTACACCTATTCCAGACAAATTATTTCCACCCTATTATTTTAGCATATCAGCAGTGATTACCTTATTAGTGGTGAAATTGTGTTTGTTTGGGTGTTTTGCTTTGTTTTGGTTTATTTTTTTTAGTATCCCTATAGGAAAATTATTCATTGTACTGGAAATTGTTCTTTCTTGGTATTCCTCTTCATGGTTTTACAAGTAGCATAGTTTGATTAAAAAATTAAAGAAAAAGAAACAGATTCTGTTTACATTGACAAGGCCATGGGGGCATTTAACTAAGCAATCAAATTTAGGACCACCAATGGAACAAACATTATATGCCTCCTGATGTGATGCAGTAGGAAGGACCATCAGTTTTATAGTAATCTTGTCAAAGCTATGTAATAAGAGCATAATAATGAGAAAACATTCAGATAAATTTAGACTTGTGGAACACTTTGCAAAACAACTAGCCTAGATGCTTCAAAAATAACAGTATTATGAAAATGTTATATATAAAATGACAGTCATAGAAACTAAATATAGTGTGTGACCCTTTAACAAAATTAAATAAATAGTTTTCAGGATATTTTTTAAACAGTTGGGATATTTGAATACAGAATATATATTAGGTTATATTCTCATGTCAATATTAATTTCTCGAGTATGACATATGATATTGTTGAAGAGTTTTCTTCTTTTTAGAAGGTGGGTGCTGACATTTTTATGGGTAAAGTATCCTGATATTTAAAACTTACTTTCAGATGGTTCAAGGGGAAAAAAAAGTACGTGTGCTTGTTTGTTTTTAGAAGGGAGAATAAAGCAAATTTTGTAAAATGCTTACAGTTGGTGAGTCTAGATTGAAAGGTACAAAGGTATTCATTGTATTATTCTTTCAACTTTTCTGCAGATTTGAAATTTTTCAAAGTAAAAAAGGGGAAAAGAAAAATAGAGATGGGATCATATACTATATCTTCAAATTATTAAGACTATTAGAATTATAGTGACACTTCAGAAAGACTTCCCTTTTATAAAGGAAAGAAAATTATTGAGGACTTAACCTACTTACCTAAATTATATCATAATATTGCTAAAGTATATGCACAAATGTACAACTGAAGATCACCTTTGTGTGTTCCTAGCTCTTAAAGCAACTATAAAGTCAAGTCAAATTCTAACTAAATACAATGAAAATATAAAACCAAAAAAAGAAAAGAAACCCAACATGATGACATAACAGTAACGTGATAGCTAGTATATATTTTGCTGCAGATAAATCGCACATGGTAAGCTGGTTCTGAGTACTGCAGTACAATTTCTTTTGAGGCTGCCATGTCTACAGAAACACCTGCATTTCTTACTCAGTCTCCACACTACTTTTCTCATTCCAGCTACTGAAAAATCTTTTTGCAGTACACAATGACATAATTTAACCTTTACTTATACCCCTATATCTTTTACATATTATATAACTTGAGAAATTAAAGACTTTACTATAATTAAAGTTATAAAATAACTTGAGAAATTAAAGACTTATTTTACTAAAATGTTTTTCAATTTTGAATTATTTACTGCAAGAGAGAAGTTTACTGTCTTTTACTGATAAATTTAACATGAGCACAGCGGATGAAGGAGGATTTTTTTCTTCCATATTTACTCTAACACATGCCGAACAGATTACAGCTATACATTTGTACTTCAACAGGATAAGCTGAATGCTGTCATTTGAGGTGATCACTTAGTGCAATTATAATAATAAACATAAACTGCAATGTGGGAATACTTTTCCATATAAGCAACAAAAATACTGGCAAATTTATAAAAAAGAACCAACATTATAATTATGGGAGCTTTGAAAACCAACAGCCTTGTTGTCACCAATGGGGTAAACACTGGTTTTGGAGCTTCTCAAAAATCCCTGTTTCCAGATCACTTTCACTATTTGACCTGACTTACAACTCACTAGAAAAGAAAAAGCTCCATTTGACCTGATTCAGAGTCTCCGTGGGAAAAGACCTGTACCCAGGGTATTGTTGAAAACAATCAGATGTAGTATCACAACTATCAAAGGCTGTGATACCAGTTGGGGCAAACAAGAGCAAAACAATTTTGAGGAAAAAGAAAAATTTGGAGGACTTTTTCTTCCCAATTTCAAAATTACAAAGCTGTAGTTATTAAGGCATTGTTGTACTGGCAGAAGAGTAGACATCTGTGGATCAGTTGATTAGAATTAAGAATCCAAAAGAAAATCCTTATTTATAGTCCATTCATTTTCAACAGAGGTGCCAAAGCGATTCATTGGGGAAAATGTCTGTTCTCAAATGATACTGGGACAACTGGATTCATATCCATCCACATGCAAAAAGATGACCTAAGGCCTTTATTTCACACCATACACACAGAAATTAACTTAAAATTGATCACAGATTTAAACGTAAGAACCAAAACAATAAAGCTGTTAGAAAAAAATAGAAAAATCTTTAAGACCTTGGATTAGTCAGTTTTCGTATTTGCAACACCAAGAGTGTGTTCTATGAAAGAAAAAAAGATAAATTGGACCTTATCAAAGTTCAAAACTTCTGTACTTATCTAAAAAGATAAGCAACAGAAAGGTTGAAAATATTTGCAAAACACGTTTCATATGTGTTTCCAAAACTTTCAAAGAACTCAAGTAAAGGAATTGGAACCATCATGTATTGCTGGTGGGAATGTGAAATGGTAGAGTGACCAGTCTGTCAGTTTCTTAAAAAGTTAAACACAGAATTATCACGTGACACAGTAATTACACTTTTCAGATGTCTACCTGAGACCTAAATAAATGTCCATGCAAAGATTTGAATGTGATTGTTTATAGCAGCATTATTCACAATAACCAAAAAATGGAAACAAATATCCATAAACTGGTGAGTGGACAGACAAGATGTGGTATATCCATGCAATGGATACTGTTCAGCAATAGAAAATAGTAAACTGCTGACACATGTTAAAACATGGATGGACTGCAAAAACATGTAAAGTGTAAGAAGCCATCCATACATAAAAGTCACATATTGTATGATTTCATTTATATAAAGTGTTCAGAAAAGGCAAACGTATAGAGGTAAAATATGGTGGTTGCCTAGGTGGTGGGTGGTAAATGTGCATGAGGGATCTTATTGGGATGAAGAAAATGTTCTAAAACTGATTTATGGTGTTGGTTGCACCACTGAGTAACGTTACTAAAAATCATTTAATTATGTACTTAGAGTGAGTAGATTTTTATTATATGTAAAATATGTCTCAAGAAAGTGTATTTTAAAAAGCAAATGGGAGGAATAAAATTATATTTCATTTTGTTTAACCAGAAACCTAAAATGTTTACATTACTTTTATAAAGCCATCAAAATGTAAGGATACGTTAAAAATTTTCCAGTTATTTTGAATCCTTAATACTGTTTCTAGAGCCAGGATCTCAAGAAATATCAGTGGAACTCCCTTTCAGACTGACTTTGGCATATGTATATACACTTTTTTACACAACCGTAGTCTCCTAGATTCAAAACAGAAAACCTGCTGTATCTTCTTATCTTTGAAAATGAGTCATTGCCCTTAGTTTTCTGACTGTTATAGGTGGGATATTGTTTCTTAAACATTTGATGAAAAACACCCAAACCAGTTAAAATAAGCTTTGCCTTCCATTTCTTCATTTACTACATTTTTCTCTTTTTGTTTGTTTTGTTTTATTTTAGATCACTGTGTTCACTACTATGATCTTCGTAACACTAAACAGCCAATCATGGTATTCAAAGGACACCGAAAAGCAGTCTCTTATGCAAAGTTTGTGAGTGGTGAGGAAATTGTCTCTGCGTGAGTATTACCCTTTTCAGAAGTTGAGCTTATTTAACATGCCATCATTTACCAGTTTGTAATGTCACTGTAGGTTTTGTGAAGACTAACACTGTGGTATATGCACTTTTTCTTAAATAGTAAATTTTTATAACTTGTCTAATTAAAATACATGTATATCCTAGTCTGTATTGCTCACTTTTATATGTTATTTGTGAATAAAATCCAGATGATACTATTTTTTAATGTTGCCCCCTTAAACATTTGAACTTCAGATTGGATTTCAGCCCCTGCTCCTTAAACAGAGAGAAGCAATATAGTTGATGCAGTAGAATGAGAAGTGTTTTATTTATTTAAGACCACTAATATGTTATTATATATTTATCTATATTGCAGTATAGTAGTGTCATTTTTGGTTTTCAACAATATTTGGTTGACTTTCATGATTCCATGTTATTTGGTCTCCCAATGATTTCGTGGTGAGTTTTAAATATATTTTGAAGAGAACTTTCTAAATGTGACTGCTTACACCTGACAAATATCCTTTGAGAAGCCTTCTCAACTAGAGAATCATGAAATAAGCTTTTAGTTGTCTTTTGTTTTGTTGAAGGAAACAAGATGTCAACCAGGTAAATAAATCTCAATTGCTAAAATACTGTTGAGTAAGCTTTTCTACTGAGACAGTCCCTTCTTTCTGTTATCCATATCATTGTTCTCTTTATTTTGTATTATTCTAGTAAATACCCATTCTCAGTCTCCTTTTTTTCATACATATTATTTCTTCTCAAGCCTAATTGTACATTGTTTTCTTTCTTTCACATAGTTTCTAATATCTCTTAGGAGATTATTAATGCCAGTGCCTTATACTTGGGATCTCCCACCACATCTGCCTCCATACTGGTTGCTCTAGATAAGAACTTGGTAATTTGAGTTGATTTAACAAGGTAATTTGAATTGAGTTACAAAAAGGGAAAAAAAGAAAGTGAGAGCTGAGCTTTCTAAGAGGAGTTAATAGAGGAAATTAGTTCACAAATCTAAATTAAGTGGTAACCAGTCAAAAAGTATCCCATCTTTAGGAGTAATAATGGGCAGTAAATTAAATTTTTATTCAGATTCAAATATGAATGATAGATTATACGTTAAAAGTATTTTTCTTAAATTTCAGACTTATAAGTGTTGAATCAATTAGTTTGATTTCAACTAGTTGAAGTATATGTATACTTAATTGTATAAATTGGAAAATCTTAGTTGACCTTTTTAATGCAGATTTGTAGTTTGTATATTCACCAGTCTTTTTTCCTTCTTAGTTTTTATAAATCATGATGATTTTCCTCTTGGACATATTTGTGTTAGAAGTATGTAAGACATTTACCCACAAGTATGTTTGGAAATATTAAAAAGTAATATTAAACTATATACATATTGCTGCAGCCTCTGAATTCTTGGACTGTGACACACACACACACACACACACACACACACACACACATATAAAGGGATTTTCAATGCAGTATTGTTGAGCAAAAACCAAATTTAAAACAACATAAATGTCAGAAATTCCCTGGCAGTCCAGTGGTTAGCACTCCGCGCTTCTACTGCTGGGGCCTGGGTTCAATCCCAGGTTGGGGAGCTAAGATCCCACAAGCCACATGGCGTGGCCAAAAAAAAAACAAAAGAAACAACATAAATATCTAAGAATAGATGTTATGTTGAAAAATGATGAGAAGCAATAGAGAAGTGTTTGGAGTGTAGCCTCTGAGATAAGACAGTTTCGATCTTGGCTCTACTATTTACTAGCTGTGGTACCTTGAAAATATCCTTAACCTTCTAAATCTGTTTCCTCACCTCTGAAATGGAGCTAATAATACTACTTATGTTGTGAATCTCTGAATAAAATAATCTATGTAAAACATTTAGCGTGGTGCCCTATTCTGTGAATGTTAGAGCAAGAGAAAGGATGATTTATTGTGTAGTCATTAATAAAGATATAGAAACATATTTATTTTACATAAACAATGTAAAACAAATTGTTGAACAAGCAAGAAGCACTTTACAAAATAATATGTGTTGTTATGATCCAATTTTTGTAACAAAAAGTCAGAAGAAAACAAAAACTTGATATTTTATTCAAATCCTAAGACTGTCTTTGTGTGATAGGATTAGCAGTGATTTTTATATTCAATTATTTTTTGATTAATAGCTGCATTTGCATATTATTTTATTAAGATAACCATTCAACCATTCATAGTATTCCACCCCTATAGGTACAACTAAGCTGTGAAAATATCAATAGTTTATATTCAGTATACTAATATAATTCAACAGTTGAAAAGTAAATCAAATCAACTGGAACAACTGAAATTAAGCACAACTGCCAATAGAGCTCTCTTGTTGTTTGATGGTGATGGTATGATGGCTAATGTTTGTTACTTCCTACATGCCCAGGTACTATTGAAAGCATTTAGAATGAATTAATTTAATTTTTGCAGTATCTTATAGAATTCATCTAATTCTGTAAGATAGGAATCATCATATTTCACATTTAACTGATGAAAAATTGAGGCCAAAGAGGTTGTATAACTTTCCTAAGGGCAAAAGCAAACTAATGGCATATTGACCATTCTGACTCAGACAGTCTAGCTCCAGAGTCTGCATTCTCAACCACCAAACTGGATTGCCTCTAATTAGTAGTGATGGGTTTCATGTAATGAGATCTTAAAGTTGTTCTAACTTTTTGTGTTTATCTCAGTTCAACAGACAGCCAGCTAAAGCTGTGGAATGTAGGGAAGCCATACTGTCTACGTTCCTTCAAGGGTCATATCAATGAAAAAAACTTTGTAGGCCTCGCTTCCAATGGAGATTATATAGCTTGTGGTAAGTGAAACTGTGGTTTCTTGGAACTTTTAAATAGATATCTGTCACTGAAATTGCATTCAGTGGGATAGACTACATACCAATTCAGGAAATGATGTATACATTCAGAAGATAGCATGTTGAATTTTCCTCGGATTAGAAAAAGCATTAGTCCTTCTCTCCTTCACTGAACACAAGCCCTGACCACATGAAATAGCATAAGATTGTTAAATACGTTTTGTAGTTGTTCTCTGGTAAAATATAATTTCTATAGATGTTATGTAGAAGACAGAAAATATTAGTTTCTGCTGATATCTTAATTTTGGAGACATTTGTCTTCTAAAGCTTGATGTTCATTTTCCCCTATATAATGTTCCCTTCAATAAACAGTCTGTTTGGGTAGTCTTGATCTGTTATTCTAGGACTTTCATTGTTGATAATTTATACAAATTTAAATTAGCAGTAGAAAAGTCAAATTTTGTACTGTTCAAATGCTTTAAAACATCTAATACCTGAATATATGAACTTTTGTCAGTACTGTCAAGTGACTTGGCCTTTTATTCAGTAAAGTTGACTATCTCTACATGTATATGAACCCCCTGTCAAAGCAAATCTCTTACTTTGATAGACTGCTCAAAAATATAGGTTTCTAGACTACTCAACTTTTATTGGGGAATGGGAAATAAGTTTTGTAGATTATTAAAATCTGCCTTTTTAAGTGCTATAACTTTCTTATTCCCCTCTAGATAAAAGTCTTTATAAATGTAATTCAAGATCATGCTATAAAAACACACTTCTGCTTCTTCTCTAGACCTCTGCTAAAATGATTTTTATATCAGTATTGTTATATCATTTGACAGTGGGTTATTTCTTTAGATTAGGAAAGTATAAGTTTTTTTCTGTGAATCCTTTTCTCATATGATTCCCAAGAAATCCTGTGCTCTGTTCTTTCATATTTTACCATAAAAGATTATTAGTCTTTGAACTTAAACATTGAGTGATAGTTACCTTATGAATGTGATATCCTAATTCTAAGTTCTCCCACTCTAAAAAAATTATTTTTAAATATTTTTCAGGAAGTGAGAACAACTCTCTTTACCTGTACTATAAAGGACTTTCTAAGACTTTGCTTACTTTTAAGTTTGATACGGTCAAAAGTGTTCTAGACAAAGACCGAAAAGAAGATGATACAAATGAGTTCGTTAGCGCTGTGTGCTGGAGGGCACTGCCAGATGGGGTGAGTTTTTATATCAGTTTTTTCACCTTGGTGTCTCATATAATGCATTATGTTTATGTATACACAGGTAAGTTTTTTTAAGTTTAAAATATAAATTGATATGTTATATACATTTTCGTTTTTGCTTAGTATTGCATCACCAAAGGAAACAGGCATTTTAGAAAGTAGTAAATGAAATGTCACAAATGGAACAGTAATTGGAATGTCACTTCATGCTGACATGATGTCTCCCCTGTGTGCCCATAGCATCATGTGCATACCTCTGTTACAGCATTATCACATTATCTCTATCTCTTCTCCTATAGGACTGGAAATTTCTCCAGAAAACACACTGTGTCTCATTTTCCTTATTAGTCACATGCAATATAGGCTTAGTAAACATTCAGCTGAACCTGGTATTGTATTAGAAGGAAAAAATTTGATGTAGGTAAAGGAGAGTGGCCTGTATGTATACCTAATTAAATACTATTTCAGGGTAGAATTGCTCTCTACAAAATACATTTACACAAGAATATTTAAACACATTCAGTTAACAAGCAAGTTGCACTTCTAGGTTGCCCAAAAAAACAGTTTCCTCAAACTTGTCATTCATTTATACATTTTAAAGTGCAGGCTTTCTCATAAGTTATATGAAGAAATAATCGTTTTTATTGTCTTGATTTTGTAAACATTAGTCATGCATTAATGTCATCTTTTTAAAAATAGCTTTTTAGGTACTGACTTGGTTTTAGTTTTGACACCAAAAAATTCTACTTGATGGTTACTTTAAGACATCTGAGTTCCAGGTACAGTTTAATTAGGTATATTTAAGCTATCTTGTTTACAGTTCTATTACTCAGCTTCAGTTTTGGCAATGGCAGACTAGGTGATTTGGACCAACCCTCCCTCTAAGTAGGAGTGGAAAAGTTAGACCAAGTATTCAATATATGTATTTTAAAAACCAAAACCTGTTTTAAGTCATTGGAAAGTAAACAAGATAGAAAAGAATTACCAGTCTAGGAATGTGAGCCTGGCTTTTGAGTATTCTTTTCCCCTGGGAGCATTTGCCAATTTTGGTAGAATGGCTGAGAGCACTTATGGTAGCTTCATGGGGGCACAGGGAATGCAGTCTAGGGCTTACCACCATATGGGTGAACTTACCTTGGTTTAGTTCCCCAAAGGGCTCTAGTCTAGGGTAAAGCAGTAGAGGATAAGCCCCCAGTGATTTTGCAACTCAACTTCAGATCATATCAATCCTGAGTAAATTGAGGTGATCTTAGATTGCTAGTGTTAACAAATGCAAAATTAAATCCTCTCTGCAAGAAAACCTTCTAAAGAAGATCATCTCAGAATTTTATTTTTTTCAAAATTGCAAATATAACTAGGACACAAGAAAAAATAAAGAGACACAGGAAAAGCCAAGACGACATGAATAAATTTAGTATAAGCATTGAACAATAGAAACAAAATCACAGCAACTCTGGATATTATAACACATAGCCTGAAAATAACCATGCTGACAAGATGAAAGACAAGGTTGAAAATTTCAATTGGGAAATTAAAAGGTTTTTTTTTTTTTTTTTTTTTTTTCCGTACGCGGGCCTCTCACTGTTGTGCCTCTCCCGTCGCGGAGCACAGGCTCCGGACGCGCAGGCTCAGCGGCCATGGCTCACGGGCCCAGCGCTCCGTGGCATGTGGGATCTTCCCGGACCGGGGCACGAACTTGTGTCCCCTGCATCAACAGGGGGACTCTCAACCACTGTGCCACCAGGGAAGCCCCTAAAAGTATTTTTAAAATGAAAATTCTAGAACTAAAAAAATATAATTACCAAAATTAAGAACTTAGTGGATGGGTTGAATGGAAGAGAAGACACAGTTGAAAAGAGAATTAATGAACTTTTAGGAAAGCTAGAAGAAAATATACAGAAGGAAGCATGGAGAGGCAAAAAATGATGAAAAAAAAAGAGAAAAGAAATAGAGGTTGAAGTAAGAAAGTTGAACATATTCAATAGGAGACCTAAAAGGAGGGGAGAGAAATAATGCAGCCAAAGCAGATATTAGAAATCATTATTGTTGAAAGCTTTACAGAATTGATGAAAGACAGTAAGGTAGAGATTCAGTAAGCCTTCATACCCCAGAGAATAAATGACTTGAAACCTACATTGCGAGTACAGATTTAATATCAGATCTGGACCCTGAACAGACCTAGGCCTGCTGAAAATCGGACCTTGGGTCTGCCTTCTCATAGCACTCTTCTGTGGAAATAAATTAAGACAAATAAGGAATGTTATGTGCTAAGAGCTAGTTATCTTTTAAATTTATTATGAACCCTCATCTGTATTGCCTCTGGACTGAGAGAATTGTGAGTTGACATGTTGGCCTTACATCTATGCAATGAGAACAATACAAGACTGGCAGGAAACCAAGGCACACCTCTGTATTGAGGTGAACCACCTGCACTTCAGCTGTCCTTAGCAGCTGTGCTCACTTTGTGTGGTTTGATCTAAGAAGCTATGCATGTGAATAGTTGCTTGGCCTCCTGATGAGTGTGAAGATGCTGTGCATGCTGAATATCCTATCTTATATCCTTCTATAAAGCTAACTCACTGCTAGATTAAAACTAACTGCGCCTGATACTGTGACCCCTGCTGGTGGTGGGACACATCATAGTGAAACTGCTGAAAATAAAATACAATGGAAGATTCTTAAAGGAAGGCAGAGAAAAACTGTCTTCAAAGGATGAGTAATTAGACTGACAGCCAACTTCTCAGTGAAGCAGCAGAAATCAAGATAGTGGAGCCAGATCTTCAGTGTGTGAAGGAAAATACCTGCCAATCTAAAATTCCATATCCAATGAAAATCTCTCAAGACAAAGGTAAAATAAAGACATTTTTAGATGAATGAAAATGAAGATTTTGCCACCGGCAGACTTCAACTAAAGAAAATTTTAAAGGTAATTCTTAAGGCAGAAGGAAAAAAATGCAGAAAATGAAGACAAAGGTAAGACATGCAGAAAGGAATGGAAAGCAATAGAAATGGTAAATATGCAGTAAATCTAAATGCATGTTGACTGTATAAAGCAATGATATCTTGTTGGACTTAATACACACATAGAATTAAGTACTTGACAATAATAACATAAGTCAGAAGAATAAATGTAATTAAAATGTTCTCAAGTCCTTGTTTTGTCAAGGAAGGTGGCAAAAGAACTAATTAATGTTTGACTGAAAGGATGCATATTGTAGTTCATAGGATAACCCTCAAAGTAAGTTCTTAAAGTATGCTACCTAGACCAAAAGAGCAGCATCACCAGGGAACTTGTTTATTTCACAATAAAAAGATTAAAAGTTCTGTAACTCACTTCAGTAGCATTCCAGATTTAATTTAAATCTGACTTTTATATAACTGTCACTTTGATTAGCTACAAAAAATAACTTCATTTCCTTATTTTAGATGAGGCAGAAGGAGTGAGACACTCCTTTGTTCATTTATTCAGCAGATACTTAGTATGTGCAGTCATAGTTCTACACATTGGAGATAAACTCTGAACAAAACTGTAAGAAGAAGTTCTGGCCCTCTTAGGAGACTTAGAATATTATGTGCTGGAGCAGACAAAAAAACCCCATATATATGAAGGTAACAAGTGCTTTGGGGAAAAACTAAGCAGGAAAGTGGGATGGGGGTGCTAGAATAGGGAGTTGTAATTTTCAGTTGGTGGTGACAGTGCCTTACTGAGTAGCTGAATTAGAGCAAAGACTAGAAGGAGATGAAGATGTAATCCATGTTTAAACGTAGGAAAAGAGTATTCCAGGTGTAGTAAACAGTTCAAAGGTCTTGAAGTAAGAATGCGCTTTGTGTTCCAGGAACAGAAAGAAGGCCAGTGTTGCTGCACTACAGAGGTCGAGGTGGGGAGTAGTAGATAATTTCAGAGCAGTGAAGAAGAGCTCTTTCAATAGAGCACGTTTACCATCGTAAGGACTTCTGTTTTTCCTGGGAGTTGGGAGCCATTGTGAGATTTTGAGCAAAGTAGTGATACAATATGACTTAAATTTTTTAAAAATCAGTTTGGCTGTTTTATAGAGAACAGACATAAGGACTCAGGAAGGCTGTTGTAATAATCCAGGTAAGATTAAATAGTGGTAAGCCAGTGAGAAGTAGCCAGATCTTGTTCATATTTTGAAACTGGAATAAACAGAATTGCCAATAGATTACATGTGGATAACGGTAGAGAAAAGTCTAGGATGACACTGAGGCTTTTTCCCCCAAGCATCTATAAGAGTGGAATTGCCGTTTCTTAAGATGGAGAAGATTACCAGAGGAACTGTCTTATGGGAGACGCTCAGGGGAGAAGACCAGGAGTTGACCTCTAGACCGGCCTGATTTGAGAGTTACTAAAAATACTAAGTGGAGATGTCAATTTTGGATTCACAGGAAAGTTGTGAACTGGTTAAGTTTGAGGTGTTACTTGCCGTGTAAGCGGACCTGCCAAGTTGGAGTTCACAGCAGATTGTGGGGCTAGGCATACAAATTTGGTAGCTGTCAACATATGATACTTAAGCAAGAAATGGGATAAGATCTCTCCAAGGGAGTGTAATCAGAGATTAGAAGTAGTATGAGTACCTTACTTGAGGGTACTTCAGTGTTCAGTGATTTAGGCAATGAGAAAGAATCAACAAAAAGACCGAAGAGTGGTTATCAATAGTAGGAGAACTGGTGCCTGGGAAGCCAAGTGAAGAAGGTTTTTCAAGGAGGAGGAATTGGCCATTGATATGAAAGTCTAGAAGAGGGAAATCTATAGAGACTAAAAGTAGATTAGTGGTTATTTAGGGCTTAGGCGGGCAAGAGATAGGGAGATGATAGCTAAAGGGTACAGGGTTGCTTTCTGACATGATGATATTCTCAAATTGAGTGTGGTGATAGTTGCACGTATCTGTGAATATACAAAAAGCCATTGAATTGTACACTTAAAATGGATGAATTGTATAGTATGTGAATTATATCTCAGGCTGTTTTAAAACAAT